AATTTCGTGTCAAGTATGTCAAGGGGAAGGTTAACTGCGCTGCAGACACACTTTCATATTATCTGACCATTGCAATCGCACCCAAGGAATCCGAAGAGGCTGAGGATACAGCAAAATGTGCGGCTATGGTGAACACAGTAATGGTGGCCTTATATGATTATGTGGTGGACCTATGGTGAGTGGAGAAGGAAGCCCTTAAAGATGAAGAATATCAAGTGCTTCATGATAGCTGGGCAGAATGGAAGGACTTGGAGAAGGCCGCATTATGACCCTACTTCAGAATGCAAAACAACCTCTCATGCCAGGATGACTTCATCCTGTACACTAGTGTTGAGATATTCACACGCTTGAATATCCCACCCTCCCTCAGATGCAATGTACTCAACAACCTCTATACTGGCCATCAAGATTGAGATAGGATGCTCTGCAGGGTCAGGTAGTCTGTATACTGGCCCCGACTTGACACAGATGTAGAGAAAAAGCATTGCCAATGTCAGATTTGTGAGGTGCATGCTCCCTCTCAGTCCATGAAAGGACTCCTACCCACACCTCCGCCTCAGTATCTACTCCTGCTAGATGGCAACTTATATATTGCCTAAGCAGACATGTTGATGGGCTGGTTGGAGGTGGAAAGCATTACAGGGGAGGCCACCACCTCTTGCCTCATCACTGCTTTCAATTGGTGGTTCAGGAGACTTGGCATCCCCCAGGACCTGTCGTGCAATGGAGAACAAACCTCACCAGATGTGAGTCCAGAAGCTTCTTTACTACCTGACATGTCAAACACACTACACTTATTCTAATGGGCACATGGAGGCAGCAGTCAAGTTTACGAAGAGGATACTAAGAGGCAACATCTGCAATACTCCATGGACACAGTTGCTATTACCAGGGTGCTAAATAGACCCCTGAAAGGCTTGGACACTTCCCCATTGCAGCTGCTGCTAGGTAGGTAACTGTGGAATACCATACTGTTGGAAAGCTTTGTGTTGTGAGTGGGAAAGTGCCAAGAACAGCAAAATCATCATTTCGTAATGACGAGGCAGTCCATGACCTCACCCCCCTTAAGCCAAGACAGCAGACACAGATTCGGAACCTAGCCAACTGGTGGTGGGATCAGTCAGGAAAAGTGGTCAAGCTGACGCACCATGACAATACTTGGTGAGAGGCTGGATGGTAGTGGCAAGGCTAAAATCAGGAACAGATGCCACCTCTGCACACGAGATAGCAAGCCCCAAACTGGGGCTCTGCAAAAGGCCCTAAGCACCATTTCAAACCAAACCTCAACCCCAAACTCCAGCATACCAGGCAACCACCAAGTAAGTTATTGCAGATATGTACAGGGTATTAGTTAACTTCATTTTGTGCAGCTCAGTTTACAAACATTTTGATTATTTCTATATTTCATCACACTTAGGATGCATGTGAGGAAGGTGTGTGGGAGTTGTCGGTACCTTCTGGTGGTACAACATGGTCAGCAGTAGTTGCCCATTGATCTTCACAAGGATTCTGTATTACTCCGCATACCAGAATAAACCAGGTGAACTCAGCCTTGCCTTTCCTTAGATCTCCCTCCATAACAAACTATTATGATTAACAAAAGAAAATAGTTTCATATTTTCAGCTAAAAAATGAGTCTGTTCACCAATAACCAGGAATATCTTCATACTGTACAAATTATTATGTACATTAACCCACTGGTTGCCATATTTTGCATTATGGCGCATAATCCCGTAGCATTATCTATCTGGACTCGGGCGGAGCATGTGATTGCACTGGAGAGTGAGTGCTGTGGCGATGCTGCTTTCCTTCCTCCGCGCATGTGTCTGTCTATGTATATATGAGAAAATATATGTTTACAAAAGTATATATAAACCCTTGCAAATATATGCAAGCATGCAAACATACGTAAATGCGCTCAGAAAGAGTAGAGGGCCTGGTTTTAGCATGCACCGAAGGCATCCAACTCCTTTGGTGGGTAACACCCCATCACTCGCGCAGGCCTGGGCCCTGGAAGGCCACTAGGGACACACCAGCTTGCCAGCTGATATCCCCTGGCCCGCTTGCCCCCAGGCCGCGTGGCCACCTGTTATTCCAAGGGATCTGCTGTCAATTGCACTTTGCATCATATGGTGCCATATGCGACCAATGGGTTAAGTAAATTCAAACTACTAGCATATTTTAAATAAAATCCAATGGTAAAACCCATTTGTTCAGTCTAAATCTGTCATTTAATATTTAATATTCAATTTAACTTAGGATATTTTACCCATATCATTATACAAAGAAAGGAAGAGAAAAATAGTAAGCAAAAACGTTGATAATTTCAGCTTCATTCCAGAGGGAATCAGAGAAATAATCATCATCAGATTATCTGATTTATTGGAAAAAAAAAGAAAGAAAGAAAGGAGCAAGAGAAATATGGAACTCATAAACCTGAATTTGAAGCTACTACAAAGACATCACTTGGTCAAAAATTCAAATTCTGGTTCATTTCAACAAATTTTGAGAGAAAATAATGAACTAAAGATCTTCAAGCAATGAAAGCATTACAGAAATCCCTTTTAGCTAATTCTTGATGCATGTTTGTGATAGGAACAATGAGAGAGGAATGGTACAGCCTATTAACATCCTTATCAAGGAATGTACCCTGAAGCACTAAGTTCAAAGAGGATAAAATAATGATTTAGAACACGTACTTTTGATTATCCGGGAAATACAGGAGTGCTAACAAGGATGGGTGGAAGAATGCAGCATCAGCCTGGGTGAAGGATCGACCACAGTAGAAAGTTGCCTCTTGCAGCCTGCCTTCTCTTGCTGCACTGCTACATTCCCTCCACTCCTCTACTGCACCCCACACCCATCCTCCAACTTCATCACTGATTACCATGTTGCTTATCTCACCAACCAATTCACACAGAGACTGGAAAGAGGATAAGTGTGTATTACAGCAAATGTCAATCTGCTTTCCGAAAATGAATCTTAACTCATTACCTCCAGGAAAATATGGGGTTTACTTGGCTTCTGCTCCAGGTATTATCTGTGGTAGATTGGGCTTGCCTCTGGGGTCTTTTTCAGGTGCAGCTCGTGCATAGTACTTGCTGTTTACACACTACCATAGTTAAGTGATTTTTTTCATGTCATTTGTATGCAAAATATGATTTTAATGTTTTGCATATTTAGCAATGTCTGATATGAACCTGTTGTAGCCTTATTATGTACATTAACCTGTAGCCGATGGGTGGCATGTACGTACACACCATGGCTGCTATGGACCGAAACATGGATGGCATCGTATCATGCCCATTCCTGTGCCACTGGCTCGTTGGGCGGAGTTATATCCAATAGTAGTGGCTTCATTTATGTGGTAAAGATTTTTGGCAATGGCACCTATAATGAAGGCAAACCTTCATAATTTAAATATTTTTATAAATTATAGCAAAATAAAAGCTTTTAAGTCCATTTCAGTAAACAAGGCATGTTACCCTCTGTGTACAAGACAATGTGTTTTATTGAAGTATAAAAAATTTAAAAATCATTCACTTTAGCAAATCTATTTTTGACAAAGAAAAAAAAAAGAAGAAGAAAAAAAAGAGATTATATGCCGTGATATACAAGTCTCCTGCCACCACAACTTCAGTACTTCCCTTTGGTCTCATACTTCAAGAGTCATACTGGTAGAGTGCCAAAAGGTGATGTGAGTAGTTGACACAAGGAGGCTGATATTGTAAATAAGAGTGAAGGTTACTTATAGGTTCACATCAGCAGCAAGAGTGCCATGTTTTGGTGTGTGACATCTTCCAGGCATAACAGTTAAATTATTTATTTGCCAAAATTCACCCTATATACCAAACAAGAGCCAATCATCGTATTACACATCCTGTTCTCCCTCAGGCAATTCCCCAGGGCAAGTGGTGTTGGCTTCCTTATAAAGATCAGTAAAAATGTAATGAATGCATCACTGTAACAAGACACGAATGATCCACTGCCCAGAGCTGTGTCCAGGTTGTTGCTGGCATGAATAACACATCAGCCGGACCTACGACCAAGTCAGCCATAACAAGAACCACACATCATTCGTAGTCTATGAGTAAACCATTGGGATATGAATCATACATTACTAAGTATTCTCTCACAGTAATGTATAAATCTTCACATGACAATGAAGAAGTAATAATAATTTTCCAATACAAAAATGTATAAAAAAAAGCCATAACTTGTAACCGATTTAAATAAATTCAATTTAGCAACTTTCAAATAGGGAAAGCACAAGAACAATATGAAATAACAAAGGCTTTTCTGAAACCTTGTATTACATTTATCTGACAACTTTTGAAAACACCTTTGCACATAAAAACATAGGATGATTTTATGCATATTAATTTTATATTAACCTCCAAGAATAATATTCTTTTAATCCTCTCAATTCATTCTACAATTAATCGTAACTTGGAGGAAAAATATTTTTTATGAAATGAGGTAATTTTTCCCACATACTTTGCAGATGCAGTCCTTCTTTCCACACTGAAAGGTGTAGTGGAGTTCTGTACACTAAAATTACCACATAGCAGAAGCTCCTTCTGCACTTTGGTAACCCTGGTAGAATTGGGAATGTACGGTGTAAGAGGAAGAGATACTGAGGGAAATGTAGAAGGGGATAAGCGGACAGGGTAGAGCGAACGATGGTAAAAGAGAGTTAAACCTCATTGACATGCTTCCTGCCTGGTCTCGCATAAAGTGACGCCAAGTTTGAACCTGAGGACTGCTACCTCAGACTCAAACTTGTAGATAAGGCAACTCCTATAAAATATATTATGGGAGTTAGTGCAACTAGCACACATACATGATTGAGAGGGGCAGTTTGAACGATCATGGCCAAGATGGGCACAAAGAGGGCAGCAGCTTGTGCTTAGCAGGGTGGCCAAAATGTCAACATTTTTTATACTGATGGGGGAGGGGTCAATATGGTTGGACAGGATAGGACTCCATTAATATAAATTTATGGGGAGGTTATGTCTGCTGAAGATAATTTTGGCAATATTGGAGGAATAGTGTAGAACTGTACTGATACTGCATTATAGTAAACAAGGCAGGCAAGCAGGCTGTTTTCACATTCTGACCAATTCTTGTTGCAGACAGGGCAATCAGCTGGGAAAATAAAAACAGGAGTGAGGCTGAGCAGGGATAGGCTTGATAGCTTGGGACTCGGATGTAACTATGACAAGGGACGAATGATTGAAATGGCTGTGTCAGGAAACTCTGCCTATTTGTTTTTGTGGACAGTATTGGAATAGGTGGGTTTGTTAAAGGGGCTGTAGGCAGAATCATATAAAATCGATCCCATTTAGCTGGGATTTTTTGAGGTGGAAGTAGTTGAAGGATGAGGACAGGAGGAAGAGGGAGTGCAGTTGAGTGAAGCAATACTACGGATGGACAATAAGGATGTGGAGTAGTAATAAGAGAGGAGAGGTTTGAAAATGAAGAAGACTGTGGAGGATGAAGAGAGGGCGTGAAGGATTTTTGGAGAGAAGAAGGAATGTTTTCTGAAGGTTGGGTAATGACCTTGGTAGGTACCTTGGAATGTATTGAGCTGACAGCAGGTATCAAGTAGAAGCAGCATCCAGAGTTGTGATCATACGAGACAAAGGGATCAGGGAACTGGAAAAGTTAACGTCATTTTGGTTAACTGATAAAGGAGTAAGCCTCAATGCCCCTAATAAAGGTACAAATCAGTACTGGCATGGAGTATGTGTGGAAGAGAAGTATCCTTTCAGAATACCCATGAGAGGTAAAGGCTAGATAACTAAACTGGGAAATAATGCGTCCATGCCACTCTGAGGCCATTCAGGATGGACCCAAAGCCAGCTTTTTATCCTTTCAACACATTTTAGGAAGTGGACAGAAAAAGGGGTTCGAGAATAGGAGGAAAAGGGAAGGGGGGGGGGGGGAAGACCATGCAAATTTGTTTGAGTTGAAGGCTGAGTTCCCAACACTGGGCCTTAGTCTCTGTCTCAATATTATCATCATTATCATTATTCATATCATTATCATAATTCCTATTATCATCACCATTAATACTGTAATTGTGATCATAATAACCAATATTATCATTATCATTATTGTTGTCACACTTGCATATTCATAATCACCACGTGTATTTTTATTGTCGTCATTATCAGTAAAAATAAGAATAAATCATAGTTGTAATTATGATACTCTCAAAATTGTCTTACAGGCCTCTTCCTCCTTATTTATGCCTTTGTTGGCATACATGGATTATGCAAGTAACAAGTCCTAAGCTATTGGTTGGACACATCCTGACAACTATACCTCCATGATCAAGCAAAAAACAAATCTTCAAGACACAGGCGAGTGTCAAAGTTTTGCTTGTTAAAAGATAGAACGCCTATGAAGATAAGTGACTCTGTCCCTCTCTTCAGATACTAGCATCACCAAATACAAACATGTTGAGTGAATTCATGTCTCATGCTGCCGGGCCAATCTGTTACTTGACATCTTGGTTTGACAGTCATGAACTTCACTACCAATATATGCAAAGCTCTGTGTAGGCTTGACATTCTCATTGCAAGCAAGTATTAAATAAACAGGTTCTCTTATCAAGTCTCCAAAGTCCTGCATCTTGGTTTTAGTTCAAATAACCTCTAGACTCAGGGACTTTGCCTTTTTGCTTAATAATACCTCAAAATTTGCTGTAGTCCCAGTGATTCCCTTTCTTTTTCCTTTGAGGGATGATCACACCTCTTAGCATGTCTGAAAAACATGCAATCCACTTACTACAGATTCATCACCAGCCTTTAACAGTTGAACAGTGATGCTAAAAATGTTTGTTGCTACCATCCCTCAGCTTGGAGATCGCCTCCCAAATTTCTGTCAGGTAGAACATTCCTCTCAATGAACAGCTCCATCACCAGGATCATGACACCACTCACATACATGCTAAATATCAGTGAGTTAAACCCTATGATCTGGGTGACATGACCATCCTGTCAGGGAAAAATCTAGGTTGAGGGCCAGGTGATATGGGCATCCAATCATCAGACAAAATGGCTGTGGGCTGGGTGTCATGAACTTGCCGTCATAAGCAAAGGCCAGGATGACAGAAAAGACTCGCCATGAGTGCACAAACCGCTTGGTGTGTGATTGCTCTTGCATTATTTCCATCCATGAACAAGTGTGGAATGTAATGTGCTTCAGCCCTGACCGGAAGAGTACCGGCTCCAGGGAGGACGCCATTTCCATGCTTAACATTGTATTCCTGGCTGCAGCGACTGGCAGCACAGGTTGTATTACATTGGAAAACAAAATTCATATAAAAAATAACCAAAGGTTACATTTTAAAAATTCCATTTACTATATACAGAGATGATGTGGAGTCTGTGCAAGGAAAATCATCTATTACCATCTGGATAAAGCAAATCAAAAGACAAATATGGATATTGGAAAATGTCAAAAAAGTGAAAAAAGTTTATGCAAGAAAACTTTGAAGAGGGGATCCACAGAGCCTTGTCACTGTGTTTTCAGCTCTGTGATTGCCGTAACACAACTAGATCCAATGGGTTAACCTAATAACAAGCTCGGAGAGCTCAGCCCAATATGATCACAACCCAACACGACCATGATCTACAAGAACTTGGAATTCAGATTTTGAGCTTGATTGGCAGGATGATATGGTCTTCAACCTCATTAGCAAGGTTCCTTGTGTGCTGTTCCTTGTCCCTCCTTATTCTTTCCAAGTTTTATGTGCTAATGATTAATGCAAGTCTCAATCATGTCAGCTGAGGTATGCAACATTCATCTATGGCCTCATGCCTCCTGTGTGATAAAATTCTGCCTTTTTCTTGGGTGATCTCTAATGGACTCCTGAGCTGAATAAAGTGTTTCACATTTGAAGATTTCCCCCCATTGTTATCAGGTTTATTCGGTTGTTGAATATTGTGAAACAATTCTGTGCTAATTTGTTAATTGGAATAATGATGATGATACTGGTAATGGCAATGGTAATAATAATAATAATATACTGCTTTGAATAATAGAACTGGTGCTGGTGAAGACTGAACCTTAATCTATACTATAGATGTCTTTAAATACAAGAGAGAATTTTACCAATTTTTAAATATTATTTACAATTTAGACTGTCTTGACTGTCTTTTTGAATCGTTTTATATTATATTTTTTTTTTTGCATTACTATAACGATTATCTATCATAGCTTAAGATTTTAACCAAAAAGGCAACAGAAAATTTGCCATGGAAAATAATAATTATCATCTGACTGGAAATTACCTCATTCGACCAATATGCCAGCAGTAGCAAGAAAAAAACACACAGAAATAGTGTTAGTGTGACACCCCTTTAAGAATTTGTAGAGCCATCTATATGTAGAGATAAGCTAAATTAACAGTGGCCAAAACATCAATGTATGCCCAGTCATCATAGTAAAAGCATGTTTGTCCATTTAAACACAAATATATGTAAATCAATATGCACATGTATTCTTACACATACACACACACACACCCACACACACCACACACACACACACCACACACACACACACACACCACACACACACACACACACCACACACACACACACAACACATACACACACACACACACACACACATATATGTGTACCACAAGTATATATACCTGTATATTCATGGATACTTGTGTGTACATACATATACATGTATACACACATATCTAGTAATAATAGTATTTTTGTGGTTTGTCAACCTTATCCATGTAATCTTAATTTCTTTTTATTTCTTCGATAAAGAAGTGATATATTTATGTAACAAATAGCATCAAGAATGATGAAAGATCAGTTTTAATGACTCAGATATTACAGTTCCCTAGTTATAGGGAATTATAGGAAATGAAAAAGGTTGACAATCTTCCTTCTTGTGTTCCCAGACACATTTTCTCTCCTGTATGCTTTGATGCATTATTAATTAAATGTAACTCCTGTTATACCATTGGATAGATACTTCAACTGCAAAATAATATTTTTTATCACCCACTAAATTTTCTTATAGGTATCTATATGTAACATTCCATACTAATTATTTTTCCACTATCATATCTACCTATTGATAGATAGATAGACATGTTAACCTACATTTACATATATGTTATCGTGTTATCCAAGGATATATAATTTTTTTTTTTTAGCTTCTTACATGTAATACTAAATAAGCCACAGTATACAAAAAGAGGATACCAATTCTGTCATCTCCCTCACAAAACTGTTTCAACATTTTACTAGCAGTCATTTTGCATGTGCATTGTATCTTTAAGCAATTGCATTGCAAAGGTATATGAAATCAAGATCCTAAGTTATTAAAATAGAAAATTGAAAAAAAAATTACCAAATATTGAAATCTTTAATAAGTATTAAAACAGATTTTTTGCATACAACTATGAAAAATTGGGGAAAAACGTTTTTAGTTTTTTTTTTAATATATGTATATTTTCTCTTACCTTTGCATATACAATGGTAAGTAGCATGGAGAATACACAAAGATATAGATATCTGTGTGCAGTGTACCATATAAAAGCTCATATAATACAAAAAAATGGATATTAATATTTGTGTCAATTCCATAAAAAAAACAATGGTAAGTAGCCTGGTGAGTACACAAAGACGACATAGAGGTCTGGGGGATGGGGCCACTCTTTAAAAAAAACATGCAGTGCACAATATAAAAACTCATATAATGCAAAAAAAAATTGATAATAATATTTGTGTCAATTCCAAGAATTTCACTGATATTCCTCCTCCTCCCCATAGAAGAGTCAAGGATTCCTAATAGATGACTTACTAGTGACTAACACTTGTGGAGTCAACTATAAGTAAACAAAGCAAATATATCAAAACACTCAACAGTGCAGACATCCTGCTATCAGTCAATCAGATACTGCAAAGATCTTATGCATAAAACAAAATCAAAATGGCTGTGATCAATAATATACTTT